AAAAAAAAAAAACTTGGACCACAATCGGTTGAACTGGTCTAAATCGGCAATTCAATGAACTGGCTCGTGCATATGTTCGGGCCGATTCAGGTTTCTTCAAACCCCGACCCATAACTGGTGGTTCTGACCTGAAATCAAGGTTTGGCCACGTCAATTATAACAAAATATATCTTTTGTCAAAAATTTAATATTAATATTATATATATATATATATATATATAAATGATGAATACAATCAATTTTAGATAAGAATTAAAGTTTAGATTGTTATCATATATACTAAAAAAATCACAATTCACAATATTGTAGAAGTTAATACATTAAATCCCAATTTTTAGGAATTTCAAAAATATAGTGCACATGATAAAATAATATATTAACATAACTAAAATAAGACTTTTATGTAGAGTTATATATATGTTTATCTATACATTATTAACTATATATAAATATAACTTGCAAAAAAAAAAAAAACTGTATATATATATGGATAGGTAAAATAAGTATTCTTTACATATTTTTTATTAAACGAGCTAGTTAGGATTCAAGCTCAAAATCTAACTCAACTTTAAAGGATAAAAACATGTTTGTATACAAAAGCAATTCAAAACCTAACTCAACTTTAACTCAACTCTAATATTGTTAATATTATTAATATAATTAAATAATATCATTCAATAATTTTTACACATCACTATTCATTCACTCATATAATTTTAACATATCATCACTTATAACATCTCTCTCATACTTTAAGATCAAATCAACTTTAATTTAAATTGAAAATCTCACTGACAACTAACCATACAATTTATCTCATTTAATTCAATATTCACCTACTCATATAAATTTTAACTAATTATCACTTTTATATCATAATTTTCTTACTTTTAAATCAAATCAACTTTAATAATTTTATTTTAAAAATAAATTTATTATCTCACTTACAATTAATACGATTTTTTTTTTCAAAATAACTCTAATTAACCAAAAAAATATTAATTTTGAGTGGAAATTTTTGTATACAAACACGTTCTAAGATTTTTATGTAATTTTTAAACTTTTAATAACTTCCACTTGTTAAGGATTGTAGATTAATTCTCTATCATTTAAAAAAAAAAAGAAAAAAAAAAAAGAAAAAAATCGTAGATTAATTGAGATGAATATAGGTTATCATATGGTTAAGTTATACGAGTCAATGAAGCTCACGGTCGACTATATTCGTGTTCAGTCTATGGGATAACAATGTGAAAACTCATCAACACAAAATGAATCTGCCATCCCAATTTTGTGTTCGCTGTAGTTCACTGTTTGATCATATTTGGGATTATTGATTTAATCCCCTTTTATCATTATTGATAATTCCCCTAACCAATTTCGATTGAAAAGGTTTATTTATAGCTATTTATGTACATATTAATTCCGGGATTATAGCAATCGCCAGCTAATTGCTGGTTTACGTTCAATCTCTGTGTTGTCTGGGGAATCAGTTTTTGGATGCGTAGTGGATTTTTGTGGATTGAGCTGATGAATTTGTGTTTAGGGTTTTAGGACGGTGTAAATTCTCTGAGGGGGTGCTGCGATGGAGGGAGGTAATCGGACATTTAAAGTTGATTTCACTAGCGAAGGAGTTTCGAAGCTTCGTGATGTTGTCAAGGAGAAGCTCAAGGAGTTCATGGGCGATTACACGGACGATACTCTCGTGGTATGAAACTTAAAGTTTGATTTTTTATATGCCAGTGTTTCTTAATTGAGAATTTCATGTCAATTGGGGGAATTCGATGTGTGTTATTTTCAAGAGTCTGGATGTGTTGAAATTGCAGCTTGGAGAAGATGATGGCTGCTGTGCATGGACATTATGACATGCACATGTTCAAAGTCGCTGGAACGTTTTGTGTCTTTGTTAGTTGAACGGTGTCGTTTTATGTTTGTTTACATGTGGTGTTTTCTTTTCGTTTATACATCGGATACGGCGTCGTTTCACTTAATGTCAACGATGCCGTTTGGATCATCTTCCTCGTCGTCTTGCATGCATAAGAGCATCTCCAATGGTTGAACATCTATTTTGAGATGAATGGTGTAGAGAAAGGGAATAAAAATATTTGGTCTCCAATGTTTAACGTCAATTGTAGAATAATTTGACACGTGTAAAATAGTAATTGGTTGGTAGAAAGAGAAATATTAAATAAATAATATAATATAGGGTAGAAGATGTTTAGAAGTCTTTCTACATCTAAAAAGACTTCTACAATTTTGAAACGCCACATCAGATTTTTGAGGCTATGTGGCAATGAATTAGAGCAATCCATGTACCATTGGAGATGCTCTAAGTAGAGTCATGTTTTCTTTTGACTTTTGATGAAATGAAATGATCTCAGAAAAACCCAAAAATATCTAGTTCCATAGCTTTGTGAAGGTGCTTTCAATGTTGCGGGATATGATGTGCGGCAGGGAGTACCTCCGACTAATGATCCGTTCTTCCTCCATGCATCAGATAATCTGGACTGATGTTAGTCTCAAATCAGTTGACTGGTACGAATTTGCTTTCGTGGAGGAGGTCAATGACTATAGCGGTGGGTGCTAAGAGGAAACTAGGTTCATTAATGGTGATATAGTACAACCTAATGTTGATGATGATGACTACGATGATTGGAAATAAGTCGATTGGATGATTTTTTCATGGATTTTGAATTCATTATTAAAGGATATTGCTGAATCCTTCATATATGCTGAAAACATCTAATGATCTTTGGGATGATATTTGTCAACGATATGGAGAGAATAATGGCCCTATGCCGTATAATTTGCAGAGAGAGATAAACACTTTAACTGAAGGTCATAGTTCAGTTATGAATTACTTTAACAAGTTGAAGAAGTTATGGGATGAATTTGCCTGTGTTGTGTTGTTCCTATTTAGATCTGTAATTGTAATTGTCCTAAAGGTCAAATGGCAGCTCAACATGAAACTGAAACTAAGCTAATTCAGTTCCTTATGGGATTGAATGACAGTTATGATGATTTGAAGAATCAGATACTACTGTTTGATCCATTGCTAAGTGTTAACAACGTACTTTCAGCTGAAAGGAAAAGATATGTTACAAATAACCTTTGATAAAATGGAGAATATGGCTATGAATGTTAAATATGAAGGTTATGGTCGAGGACAAACAGGACAAGGAAGAGGATATGGTGGAAGAGGTGGTAATTGGCAAGGTGGAAGAGGTAGAAGTGCTGTCAGGCTGAGTAGAGAAGAAAGGGCAAAGCTGTAGTGTGAGAAATGTGGCATGCATGGACATACAATAGCTACATGTTTTAATATTCATAGGGTACCAGAATGGTACAAGGAATTAAAGGTACAACAAACTAAATCCTATGCTAACAATGTTGAGGCCTATGAGGATGAAGAACAATGGGGAGAGGAAGTGCCTGGAAGAAAGAGTTCAACTTATAGTGAATTGTCACTTGTTGTGAAACAATTACAAGAAATTACTTAGTATATAAAAGGAAAGGAAAATGTGGATGGACAGTTTAACTATGCTCAGATGGCAAGTTTTGCCCACCAAAGGAAGAAAAAAGCATAGTTCGTCCACTTTTCTCTTGGAAAGAGATCCTATGCTCTTGTCCTATTCTGTGCATATGCTTGCTCAGTTAATGCATCAACCGCGACAGTCTCACAGGGATGTTGCACTGCGTGTGTTCCGGTATTTGAAGGACTCCTGGTCAGGGAATCCTTCTTCTATGATCTCCAGAGGTTAAAACCTTTTGGTTGTTTGACTTATGCAACAAAGATTCATCCACTGAGATCAAAGTATGCACCAAGAGGAAGTAAGTGTGTTTATTTGGGAAATGCAAAACGGAATAAAGGTTATCAATTATATGATATTGACAGTGGTGAGTGCTTTATAGCAAGGGATGTAGTGTTCTTTGAAAATGTGTTCCCTTATGTCACACAACTTAAGGAGGACATGGTTCTACCTCAACATGCTAAGGAACCTGAAAAAGATGGAACAACTAATATGGAGATAGTGCATACTCAAGAAGCGGAGACACATGATGATGGTATGAGAAGAAGTCACAGGATAAGAAGTGCACCTCATTGGCATGATGATTACATTTTGGATGAGCACTCAGCACAATGCATCAAGCTTGATCTACTGACACATAAAGAGTTCATTGCCAATATCTACACTGAAAAGGAGCCATTTCACTACAAGCAGGCTGCTTTGCATCCCTCTTGGGTAGTAGCTATGCAGAAAGAATTGGATGCACTTGAGGATAACCATACTTGGGAACTTACAGAGTTACCACAAGGAAAGAAGGCAATTGGTTGCAAATGGGTGTATAAAATAAAAAGAAAGGTTGATGGATTAGTGGAAAGGTTTAAGGCTCGGTTAGTTGCTAAAGGATATATAATCAAATAGAAGGGGTGAACTATTTTGACATTTTCTCACCAGTAGCAAGATTGGTCACAATGAGATTTCTCATAGCAATGACAATTCATAGAGGCTGGGATCTAAATCAATTAGATATGAATAATGTCTTTCTTCATGGTGAGGAAGTTTTTATGCAGCCACCTCAAAGGTATGATAAAACCAAAGGCAGGTCAAGTTTGCAAGCTAGTCAAGAGCCTCTATGGGCTCAAACAAGCATCAAGAGAATGGAACCTTGAGTTATGCAGAAAATTGTCACACTTTGGGCTTCTCTAATCATCCTATGCCTTTTCACATTAACTAAGAGTAATGATTTTTTGGCTCTATTGGTTTATGTGGATGATGTTTTAGTCATCACTTTCACTCATACATCAATTGAAGATTTTCCTGGATAATCAATTTACAATAAAAGACTTAGGGGCTGCTAAGTTTTTCTTCGGAATTGAACTCATTAGAAAGCAGCTCTACATATACTCAGATACTTAAAAGGGTCATCTTCTCTGGGCTTATTTTACCCCAACAACACTTCCTCATTCACATTAGTGGCCTATTGTGATGCTTATTGGGCAACCTGTAAAGACACTAGAAGATGGTTTTCATCTTCCTTCCTAGGTGATTCACTTGTCTCTTAGAAAAGCAAGAAGCAACATACTGTGTCTAAATCCTCAGGGCAATGGGAATGCAGTTTCTAAGCTTTTGTGATTACACTTACTTGCCCAAGTGTTTCATGTGTCTCTGATTTTTTCTATTCCATTGTGGTGTGACAATCATGCTGCCGTGCATATTACGGCTAATCCCGTCTTTCATGAACGGACAAAACACCTTGAGATCGACGACTATCACATTGTTAGGGGAAAATTAAGCAAGGCTTCATCATTCCTCTATATGAGGCTTCCCCGCACCAACTTGCTAATTTGTTCACTAAGATCATAGCTGGGGCACGTTTTGCTACTTGTGTCCAAGTTGGGCATGTTGCAGGCGCACCATGGCCCACCGTGAGGGGCGGGTGTTGGAATTGCAGCTTAGAGAAGATGATGGCTTCTGTGCATGGAGATTATGACATGCATATGTTCAAAGTCGCTGGAACGTTTTGTGTCTTTCTTTTCACGTTTTTCTTTAGTTGAACTGTGTCATTTTATGTTGGTTTACTTGTGGTGTTTTCTTTTCATTTATAAGTCGCTTACGGCGTCGTTTCACTTAATGTCAACGACGCCGTTTAGATCATCTTCCTCCTTGTCGTCTTGCATGCATAAATAGTGTCACTGTACGTTGTTTTCTTTTGAATTCTGATGAAATGAAATGATCTCAGAAAATCCCAAAAATATTTGGTTCCATAGCTTTGCGATTTTACAGGATGTTCAGAATAGTGGGGATAGGTAATGCTGTTTGTTTGTCACGCTGCAGGGCTTATTTTGTAACTGTGCAAACAGAGCGGTAGAAATTGGAATAGTTTCAGTGTTCTGAATCATGTAATGAGCTGAATATGATTAATATGTGCTTTTTCGTGTGAACATATGTGAAGAAGAAAGTATTGTTTCAGTCTGCTGGGTCAAACTGGTGGTGCATTCACTTAGATGGTTTGTTTGGAATATAGTCATAAAGTGGCTTTGATGGGTTATAAGTGTTGGTAGTATATCCCTGTCACTGGCAGTGCATATTTGTGGTGATAATATTTGCTCAATTAATGAAAGTTTTTCTGCCCGAACAACTTTCCGAATACCCGAATGCGATTGGATTCTCAACACCAAACCATAAACAACACAAACTGTTTCAATGGCTAATGTGGAACTTGAAGTCTCATTTGTCATCCTTGGTGCAAAATTACTTCGAGATGAAGACAAATAGTTTTGTAATTTGTATTTTCTTTGTTGATGGCTAACAACTTAATATTTGCTGCAAGGAATGGTAATAACTTAAAACTTCTGAAAATTTTAAATTGTGAATACTGAATATGATAATCTCTTTTTGTTTTGTGTTGCAGCTCAGATGAATGAGTTGTCATATAAATGTTTGAAATATAGTTCTTTATGTGATTATATGAGATTTACAATTGTGGTGCTTATGACTGTAGTGGAGTGTTCTTTGCTTTGTATATTGTGCATCTGCTCCATTTTGTTCTATAGCTTTAGGCCTTCATACCTTCAGGATGACTGTGTAACTGAGTCAAGTCTATCAGAAGTATGAATTTGATACTTAACTAAGTTGTGTTTCTTTTTTTTTTTGGGGTGTGTGTGTAATATTTGGAAAATTTATACGGTCATATTGGTTAGTAACGTAGTAATTCCACGTTGCTTTATGATGTTACTATGCACTTGGTTGCACTATTTTATTTTTCGCATGTAATTTCACCTCCATCCTAGTATAGGAGTGCAATGTTGTTGCTTCATGACATTCTCATTTCTAGCAGTGGTGTACTGGATTCACTTTAACTTTTTTTATTGGGATGTGATCTTGTCCGTCATGTCGAGTTTGATGTTTACTGTCATTCAAGTAATTCAAGTCATTCTTCTGTTTTCCTGTGAACTAACATTTTATCTCGCTATATTCAATTATTTATGATATGTGATTTGTCCCAGGAATATGTGATAGTGTTGCTGAAAAATGGTAGATCTAAAGATGAAGCAAAGAGCGAGTTGAATGTTTTTTTGGGTGATGACAGCGACTCTTTTGTTTCCTGGTGAGGTTTACTTCAACTGCCACTAATCATATATGCATGAGTACTATGCGGTGTGCACAAACTTTGTCTAATAATTAACTGTTATACACAGGCTTTGGGATCATTTAGGATCTAATGTAAGTCTTTATGTACAACCGCAAGAATTTCAAACAGATGGAGTGCCCAAAACAAAGCTGGTAACAAGAGATGAGACTGGAAAAACTGAGGCTCGTAAGATTGAATCTATAGCTGAGACCCCGAATTCTGTTAAATCACATGGATACCATAACAATCTTCCATCCAAAGGTTTAGTGAGGGGTAGGAATGACAATGAAGTCCTCTTTCCTCAAAACAGTGTTGACGGCAATGAATTTTCCAATCATGAACCTAATCAGAGAGTTTGGCGAACAAAGCCATTTCTTTCACCTCGGCCTACAATTCAAAAGAAGAGAAGGCGAACTGAGGAACAACGGCCTAGACAGGTAATAACTTTTCTTCTTCTAGCCTATTGGGAGCAAGAACTGAGTCATGGTGTACTACTATACGAGTGAGAACTGTGAGACATTGACTTGTCAACTGTCATGATGATTGTGTTGAAGAGTGGAGAGATAGCTGTCTTTTACTTTACTGGGTATCCCTGTTTAAATTTGACAAACTATGACAACATTTTATATGCGTCATCGATTATTTACTGAGTTCACAAAACTCTGGCCGATATATGAGCTTTTATGGTAGATTGAACGATAACTTGGAACTGGCTGCAAGTTTCAGAAAAAAAAAGAAAATGTTTCTGATGCTTGTTCATTTTGGCATGTCTTGATACTTCATGGCGACATTTTCATTTAGTGATGCTCGGCATTGACCACCACTATGTTATTAGTTTATTTTATTAGTATCTCTTGGATTTAGTATTATTGCATGTGATTCCAGGAGACTCATCACTGAGGGATACGATGCTTTTGTTTAGCTATTTGATTTTGCCACCCTTTTCTGCATCTAGATCAACTATTCCATCTATCTTCTTGCCCTTTTTCCCACTCGCATGTGGTATTCGCTTTTGAGGTCTAGAAGCAATCAGCCATCTTTAGAATCTTATTTTTGTCATAGTTCCTCGGCATGTGATCAGGTATTTTGGTACTTGTTGTACTCAAACTGCTTGTTTGTAAAAGTTGTCTTTGTTTCTCTCTTGGACAAGTCTTTTTCCAGAGTTCTGAAATCCTTATTTTGCATTCTTTTGTTCATGTGTTCCTTTAAATTTGACAGAGGGAAGTTTCCCAGTCAACTGCTGGTGCTGCAAGACGACTATTGCAGTTTGCTGTACGCGAAGCCGTTGGTAACTCTAGGCCTTCCAATGCAGAAGATTCTTCACGCAAGCGCCTGAGGTCTGTGGTTTCTACATCAACAGGGGACTTATTGCAGGAAGAACGCCGTCAGAGAATTCCGCGTACTTCCATGTCCGTGGCCATTAAAGCTGCAGCAGAGGCAGTTGAGGATGTGAACAAAACCGTGCATTTACATAGTGTGTTTGCTAGGCTTGGTCACCAAGAAAATGAATTTGCTGGTGTTGTGAGTGATGCAACAGAAAATTTTAACTCGGTTTATCATCCGCAAAATGATGGCAACACACTGCTAGGACACATCTCGCCTTTTCATGAAACTATATTGGATTCTGTTTTGGGAGATGATGGGGATGGTTATGATGATATTGGTGAGAGGGAACCAGATGCCATGGGTTTAACTTCGGTAGGCGAATCTGGTAGAAAGTGGATAGATAACTCCCTAGCATATGAGTATGCTTCTGAACAAATTGAAGATTTGGGTCGACCCGCAACAAGGCACAATGCGTCCCGTAGAATTGCTTCATATGTAGGGATGAATACCAGGAAAGCCCAATATCAGGAGGAAAGGGTGGTGTATGAGATGGATAATTACAAACAAGCACTAGATAGTACTGTGGCTACTAAATCTGAAGTTAGGTTGACAAAGGAGAACAGCAATCCTACTATAGCTTCTAATGGAAATGTAAGAACTTCATGCATGCTTGTGTTGTATCCGTTCCTTATCTTGATAAGTTTTGGTCGCGTGTTATGTAATAAATTAATCACCTGTTATATGTGACTCGTATTGTCACAGGCAAAACCTGATATGATCCAACAACCACCTGAAAAGACCTACGCACCAACTGGTAAACTTTGAATGCTTTTTTGGAGCTGGTACCAAGCAAAAACTGTTTTCTTTTGTTGCCCGATATTTATTTCCATACATGTGCACCTAACTTCCTTTATAAACTCCTAAACCAACCTAAAAACTTGACTAGATCTCATGCTGCTATTGTTAATCCCTTGTCTGAACTCTGGTTCTTCCAGATTTACAGAATACTGGTCCACCAACTGATGATGCTGATTCTCGGACAATCTTTGTTAGCAATGTAAATTCCCATTAATTCTACACCTCACTTTTTGAGTAGGAACCTTTTCTTCTTTAGTTTTCTCGTTTTATTCCTTTAATTACTCCCTTCCATGTTTTTCAGGTTCATTTTGCTGCCACTAAGGATAGCCTTTCAGGAAACTTCAACAAGTTTGGAGAAATCTTGAAAGTGATCATTTTAACTGATCCGGCTACTGGACAGCCAAAAGGGTAATAGGATATTTCACATGCTTCATTTCCCTTCAATGTTTTGGAATTCTAGTCTAAAATGTCTCACATGTTCAGGTCAGCCTATGTTGAGTTCATGAGGAAAGAAGCTGCGGAGCTTGCCTTATCTCTAGATGGCACTTCCTTCATGTCTCGCCTTCTCAAGGTACGCGTAATTGAATACTGTTAACAGTAGATGAAGGGCTCGCGATATGATTTCTACGTTCATTCACTGATTCTGAGTTTTGACCAAGTTTTATCTGTTGTTTAATAGTGTTATTGGTTTCATTTAACCAGTAGCTCAGTCCATTTGAATCTGCCGATGTTCTCGTCTCCCAAAGACATTTCTCACCCCTTTTTTCGTAGACATGTGACTTTACCCATCCATGAAATGTGTTTGTTTCCAAATATACCCATCCATTAAATAATATCAACCCATTATTCTTACACATCATATAAACTTTAATTCACTATTCATCAACTCACATAATTCTAACTAACCATCACTTTCAATCATTTTTCTCCTACTCTACAGCAAACCAATTTTAACTATTTTATTTTATTTTAGACTTAAATTCCCACTAACAATTAACCCTACCACATTTTTCAAAATTAACTATGGTTCACAAAAAAATCAATAAAATCCATATCAAATCACACCCTAACTATACCAACTTTATCAAAATTAACCATCATTTTGTGCAGATTGTTAGGAAAAGCTCTGCTCAACCAGAAGCTTCATCAATTGCAACATGGCCACGTGTCACTCGAGCGTCTCCTTTTACTACTCCCAGAATTTTCAGAGCTCCTTTTCATAGAAGCATGCCCAGCATATACAGGCCACGTGTACCCATGATTACAAGGAGCTTCCAGTGGAAGCGTGCGGCCGACTCGAGTGCCAGCGAGACTTCAGCTAGCACCAATTTTCCGGCACCAGCTGTTCGTGGTCTCACATACGTAAGAACAGAGACCAAAGTGAATGGAAGTTCTGGCACAACTTAGTAAGTTCTTGCCTAATTATTCTTTGGTGGAGAACAATTGGGAGAAGTTTGTTGTACTGTGATATTATTTCGACTCTGGTTGGATAAATTAGCCAAGGGCTGGTGCTGGAGAATTTTGTACATATGAGTACGTTGATATCTGAGTTGTTTATGGAATTAAAGGGACATTGCAGTTAATTTTGCTCTTATGTGAATAGTTATTCGATAATGGGCTGTGGACATTGTTCGTTAATCATTTGGCTGTTCTTTTTTCATAAATTAATATGAAAGCATTTTCGATTTGATCCGTAATTCGAATTCGGTATTCCTGATTCGTATCGTATAAATGCGAATTCGAATTTTGATAAGAATAATGCGTAGTATTTAAAATTTATTCGAATCTGGATATGCACATATTCGATTTGAAATAGTCGAATATTGTGTAGTAATTATTTATATTTATAAATAATTACTGAAACGACAAATCAAACTTGACAACAAATCGAATATGAATGCAAATAGTCGAATTTTTTCATGAATTTGAATCGAATAGTTGAGTATTCACTTCGATTCAATTCGTTTACACTCTAGCTATACATGCGCCAGGTGAACTGAAAACGCGTTTCCTGGGATTGTTTTGTTGCGTCTTAGCCTTTAATTTGAGGAGAATTTAAAGGCAAATCCATTGTCTTTGGTGCTGCAGTAAGGGTTAGATATGAGGCAATGCACAAAAAACATCTTCAAATTATTGGCAACCTGAACTGAAGAGAAAGATTTAGATCAATGGAATTGCACAAACAAGTTCAAATTCTGGGTAACCTGAACTGGAGTGTAGATATATACGAGGCAATGCACAATTAAGTTCAAGTTCTTGGCTACTAAATAATTATCCATTTTTCCAACATTAATCGCTCACCATAATTTATCGGTTCTCTAAGATTATTATAATAATTATCAAATTTGGCCATTTCTTGAAAGAATATTTTTTTTTGTTATAAATAACTATTCATTTTCCCAACATTAGTTGCTTCACCACATTAATCGGGATTGAATTCATGCTACCCATGTGGGTAGTGTCCCCATGAGGTTTTTAGCCACAAATTTCACACACACCCATGTGTGTGTGAGTGTGTGAGTGTGTGAATGTGGCTAAAAACCGCATGGGGGCACTACCCCATGGAGTAGCAGCATCGACTTTGCCATCGATCAATTCACCATTTTTTTTTTCTCATTTACAGTGCATAATAAACGTCACAACTTAGTTAAAAATTCTTGTCTTTACACATGATAACAATTTTCTCCATCCATCAAGTTTTAATATGCCCATCCATTTAGTTGCCTTTTTTTGGCACTCACCGATATCGTATAGTTGTGTTTTTTTGGCATTCACTTATAGCACTAACCTTCACATTGCAAATTCAACTAATAAGACCCATAACTCCATACAATTTTTGTTTCTATCTCACCAAATTTAATTTACCAATCTTTGTACTTATGTTCCCATCCATGCCTATCATTAGGTGGATCAGATCGAATTTTTTGCCCATGCACAAGTCTCAACCACTATAAATATCACTAGCAAAACCTTCTCCATTTCACTCACAACTAAAAAAACCAAAAAATAAGAACAAATTATAAACCCTTCTATAGTTAACTAGACATACAAAAGAAAAAAAAAAAAAGAAAAAAAAGAAACATGGTTTCTTTTCCTTTTGGAAAATCTTGTACCATGGTTTGCTTGGTGATTTTAATGGCAATGCTAGCTTCTACGGCCAACGCGAAATGTTCGTTCGAGGCAATGTTTGTTTTCGGGGACTCGAACTCCGATACCGGAGGCTTTTTCGCCGCTTTCCCATCTCAACCGTCTCCTTACGGCATGACCTATTTCAATAAGCCGACCGGCCGACACTCGGATGGGAGGCTCTATGTCGACTTTCTCGGTAAATTGAAGCATCTATATATCTATTTTGTAGAAGTATAAATAATACCCATTTTGCTAGACTACCAAAACTGGATTTTCAGAAACAACTTTTGATAGTAAGGTAATTGTGTCATTTCACAAAGTAAAATGACTATTATTTCATATTTTCCACAAGTCTGACTATTTTTTTATACTTTTAAAAGCTACATGGCAATTTAGTCATATTACCTAGAAAACAAATTAACCAGTATAATGTGGCTACATTAGTTAGAAAACAAAATTAGTACTTATGATCATACCTTAATTCACTCAATGCAGCTCAAGCTCTTGGACTCCCCTTCATAAGCCCTTACCTGAAGTCAATCGGGTCGGACTTCAGGCATGGAGCCAACTTCGCCACGTCAGCATCAACCGTGCTCCAGCCTCAGACATCCTTGTTTGTCAACGGTGTTAGTCCTTTCTACTTGCAAGTCCAAGTCAACCAAATGAAGCAGTTCAAGTCAAAGGTTGAGGAGTATAATTCAAAGTCCCAAGGTAGGTAACAAATTCATCTTATATTCAAGGTTAAATTGTCATAACATTTTTTTTTTGGCCATAGATTGATTGTTTATTTTAACCTTTTGTGACAGGACAAACAAATCTTCCTCAGCCAGATATATTTGGGAAAGCACTATACACAATTTACATCGGTCAGAACGACTTGACGGGTTATGCAGGCTCGGGTGGTCCCGGTGGGATTAAGCAAGTCCAACCTCAGCTCGTGTCTGAAACCATTAGCTCCATTAAGGTCTCGCTTCAAATTTCCGAAACCAATAAAACCACATTTTGATTTCGAGATATTTAAAATCGAACGTGATTTTTTTATTGAGTTATAAGGTTGATAATTTTTTGTCGGTAAATGGAATTGCATGCAGCAACTTTACGACATTGGAGCTCGCTCGTTTTTGATCCTCAACATTGGCCCGGTGGGTTGCTACCCTGCTTTTATCGTGCAATTCCCTCACCAGAGCTCGGATTACGACTCATACGGGTGCTTGGGCTCGTACAACAATGCCGTGAACGAGTACAACTACGCGCTCAAGGCCGCGGTCGAGCAAACGAGGCAAGAGCTCAAGGATGCTAACCTCATGTATGTCGACACATATTCCATGCTACAAGACATTTTCCAGAACCCCACTAGCCACGGTACGAACTATTTCTTGACTGTCCAACCTCTTTTAGGTTTGAAATTGATAGTTAATACTATTTCCTGTCTATTTATATTTTTCGTAATATTATCATACTATCCCTGTTTAATGTTTCGATACGATCTTTCTGGTAAGAAATTGACACTCACTAGTATTTCGAGACTATTTATATTTTGTTTCTTGATATTAGTTAGTATCATTGTTTTCGTATGCTAGGATTGCAACATGGGACAACGGCATGTTGCGGATATGGAGGCGGGTCGTACAATTTCAACCAGCAGGTCTATTGTGGGGCCACAAAAGTGATCGATGGCCAAATGGCAACTGCCTCGGCTTGTAGCGACCCTCAAAACTACGTGAGTTGGGATGGGATCCACCAAACCGAGGCCGCCAACAAGGCATTGGCTTACGGGATCCTTGGTGGCACTAACCTCAATCAATATTGCGAAATTCAGCCGATAGGTTGAAATGTTATGATAACCGAGTGTGTTTTGTTTTACTATTATGGGGGTACGTAGCGGAACGAATAAATCGATCAGCGTTTTTAGCTGATAAGTCGTGGTGTGTGGTGGAATGGTTGTAATGTCTAGTTCGGGTTTTGAGCGACTTCTTGTTAATAATAAATGATTGATCGATCGATCAGAATTGTGAAATCATGTGGTGATTTTAGTAGTGTGTGTGTGTGTGTGTACTATTGACTAAAATCTTGGTGAACACAATATATACTCTAACTTAAATAATGGCAAGGAAAAATATACGAATATATTAGGTAAACAAGCTGCAACACGTATGTTTCGAGGATTGTTAACGTCCAACCTTAGTTTTAAGTTCCAAGGTTAAGACGAAGCCCAATTTCTTGGACCATAATCCACCAAGTAGTCGGGTTGTGGAACCCTAGAGGATAACGAATGTAATGAGATATGAATTATGATTCAACTCAACTGGTTATAACCGGTTAATCCATTTCATATCAATTATCCGATTCAAAATTCAATTAAACTTAACTTTCCTACTTTTTATAAATATAATTAAATAATATTAAAAAATTAATCTGACACACCACATTAACTTTAATCACTATTCATTCGCTCACATAATTTTTACTACCAATCAATTTCTATAATGTATCTTTTACTTTTATATTATATCAACTTTAATCAGTACATTTCAAATATTATTTAATTTTAAATATAATTTATTCAACTTTAATTGGAGTCATGCATCATCGACACGCTGTCATGTTTTTAAATAAAAATATAACTAGTACAATATCCGTGTCCTACAGGCGTTGAGTTAACTGTTAAGAACTATATGATAAAAGTAATTGCTAAAATAATTTTCTTATTTAAAATTTTGATTGAATAATTGATTAAAAAAAGGAATAGGTTAGGAGAAAAATATGAGAAACAATTATAGTATGGTAAGATTACCACTTGAAAAAAAGTTATTTATGTCTAATACTAAGTCTAATTTCAGAGGAAAAATAAATATATAAACAACATTACGAAACATAAATTTTTGTCATGTCAGCATTCGAAGGGAGTAACACCGGATTTTCAAGATAGAGAACGGACCAATTAGGACGCTCGATTCCTCCACGTGTCAGCTGCTGATAGCAGCTCCCCATTGACCAAAAATAAAATAAAATTGCTGTGGATATCTAGAAATGAGTCTTCTCAAAAAAAATCAGAGGAGATAAAGAAAGTGAGGCTGAGCAAAGACCCACTTTTTTTTTGCTTTTGCCCAATTAACATCTCAACAATTTTCACTTTTTTCCCCTTAATTTTTGGGAGTTTTCCAGCCAATAAAATAAATGGCAGCTGCAGCTTCCACTTCAATGGCGGCCACCGCCGTGTTGACTCACCGCCTCCCGGCGACAAGGAGCAGCGCCGTTTTCTGCCCCTTACCCCAACGCCCTTCTCTCTCGTCCGCCGCCCCGCTCAAGCTTCTGCTCAAAGGTACAAGCTTTTGTATGCAAAGCAGGGTTCTTTGTTTGACCCGTGAAATTAATTTTGAATTTATGCTGCTATTTGGTAACGGTGTTTCGTTTTTTTTTTTTTTTTCTGTGTTCATGTGAATTCGTTTGATTTGAAATTAATTTGAATTCATGTTGGTATTTGTGATCTGGTTTGGTAGAATTTGAGTACTGTGATGTGATTAATGTGTGTAATTTAGTTTGGGGAAATGCTACAGTCCCGACCATTCCGTCGTGATTTGTAACCGTTAGGTCATCATGTAACGGTTACATGATCTAACGGTTACAAACCCTGATGGAATGGTTCCGTAACAGGACCGTAGAATTTCCCTTTAGTTTGATGCATATGCAAGATCTTGTGCTGACTTCGTGTTTTCTCTATTAACACCTCTAACTATGAATTTTATATCGTAGCTATTAACATTGCAGATGAATGCTTTGAACCTATAAGTTGAAGTGTGTAACTAAACTCTTACCGCAAATTCTTCATACCCGTCAATTTTTTTTCGGAAAAAACAAAAATGTCGAGTGATGCCATTTTGAAAACAGATTCCAGGAGGTCCTCTCAGCTCTTAGTTAAAGCCTCGTCATCTGACGAGAGCCCTGCTGATGCGAATGAATTGTTCACAGACCTGAAGGAAAAGGTAAATTATGCTCAAAATAGTATCAAACAAACGTCCAACATCTATCCTAGTTTTATTGTGTGATTTGAGTCATAAGTTACTGATCTAATGCATTTTTGTGATGCTTCTATTTAGTGGGATGCCGTTGAGAACAAATCGACTGTGCTTACTTATGGTGGTGGTGCGATTGTTGCTGTTTGGTTAGCGACCGTTGTTGTTGGTGCAATTAACTCAGTCCCTTTGGTAAGTTCTTTAAAAAATAGACTTCGGCTTATGTTTGGTCAACCTAGCTGATAGCTAACTAACTTATAGCTTTTAAGTGAATTTTGAGCTTATAGCTGATAGCTTATGACTTATGACTGAAAAGTTAATTTATATGATAAAAGTGTTTGGTAAAATTAGCTGATCCACTAGCTGAAATAAAAAATTCAATATGTTTATTTGAAAAGTTGCCCGAGAGAAAACTTATGAGATAAGCTCCAGCTTTTTAAAAAAGCTCGTCTACCAAACCAAACTTATTTGAATACAGAAAACCTTTCTTATAATACAATAAGGTATAAGCTAACTCATATACTTACCAAACACAACCTTCATTCATACTGTTGTTTATAGTTTGCATATCTTATAAAGAAAACCTCACTAATTGATGCAGTTGAAGCTAGAACTAGTTGAGAACAAGTTTTCGAACAGAATCTTGGCTACGACCGGTTATACGATTTTTTTCTTTTTTCTTTTTTATTTTTTCAGTTTTGCCTGGTCGGTCAAGATTTATCTCATCAAAACATGAATTAAAACATTTTGTTTTTTCACAAAAACTACTATTCATCCCATTTGAAAAAGCTTATTTCTATCCACACCTCAAATGTTGAGAAAGAAAATGAAGTGATGATATGGGTTTATACTTTATAGTGAGGATAGAATTCTTCTTTGAGAATATTTCAAAATCTTGAGAATAAGGAAGAATATGTCTATTTTATATATCAACTAACTCGTGAAACTACTCGTTCGACTCTTATCAGCTTCCAAAAGTCATGGAATTGGTTGGCTTAGGATACAGTGGCTGGTTTGTATACCGTTACCTTCTCTTCAAGGTACCGAAATCTTGCAAAATTTTCACCTTATAATCGAAGGGTTTTGTAAAATTTCACCTTATAATCTGAACATATCATTTGTGGCTGATGAATTTTGATTTTTTTTTTTTTTTTTTTTTTTTTTTGTTGTCAGTCAAGTAGAAAAGAACTGGCATCAGACATAGAAGCTCTGAAAAAGAAGATTGCTGGGACAGAGTAAAAAATGTCTCAGCCACCGGGTTTTCTTAATTCGTCACGACCTCGGATTTGTTTGACTTTTATATATGTTCTGTGTAAGAGGGATAATCTACTATTGTATTGTAGATTAGGCCTTTTGTGCATTGGAAAATAATGCTTCTTTGATTTATATCTTAAATCTTATAGTCAGTCAGTCAGGCTGTGTTAATGAAATCCCACATTGTTTATAGAATGTCAATGCTTACACATACACAAGGAAGCAGCATATAATAATAAAACATTTAAATTTAAATCTTTAAAAGTATTTTTTTTTTAAAAAAAAAAAAATCAGCATCTTAAATAAAGCATCTGAACCTAGAGATCTGAATAAACCTCTAAAATCTATTTATAGGACATAAATTTTTTTAACACCTCAGAACTTATACAGTACACCGAAGTGCAGAGCAATATTGTTCATTGATTTATGCATTGACACAAAATTTTGCAAAAGAAACTTGCTCTTGTCGCGAACATCTAAGCTGGCTCGTAAAGGCCTAACACGTGCCCATCGGCACATCGCACTGCTGCTACCTGTTAATGTGAATATATATCGATTATCATCAAATTTAATTTAGCAAAAGGGATTTTGAGATTAAATGTTCATCAATTCTGTTCATAATTTTTTTAAGCAAATCACACAATAGAGTTGATGGAAAATTACCTTTCCATGGATTTCGTACTTAATCGGACCATCCAATTCTGCACCCAAGCTCATCAATTTTGTCACGGTACTATTGATATCGCTAACTGTAAATGATAGCAGAGATGAATAGCCCTTCTGCTCGACATTTTCGCTGAAAAAGCCGTTTAAAGGAAAGTTATTACTTGCCGTGATGAAAGGTTACACCTTTCAAAGATGATGATAACAGAGTTTAGAGATGGATAAGATCTTTAAATTTCAAACATATCAGTTAAATTTGCATTTCATTTTCGTCTTCACATCTTTCTTGAATCCCTTGGAGACAAATGCAGCATACATCAATCAATGCAAGGATTTGAAGTTAGCTTATTTATCTTAAAAATCATGTTGAAATACAGAGACAAAGACTAAGGCTAACTCAACACTCTCCAAATCAAATTCACCAAAATACTAAGTTGAAAACTTCGATGTTCAATACAAAAACTACTACTCCGACGTCCCACAAGATTTCAAAGCTTTTGTGGCTTGTTCAGACCAACTAATTCGTGGAAGCCAAGTGAAGCAGAAGATTTTAAAAATGTCGAAACTAAATCCAATCACAATTTTCAAAAGCTTCAATTAAATAATAACAATGAAGAACGCATTAAGGATGCACCCCAACGTTAGGCAACCGTGCTTTTTCAACAGTCGTGCATAATTGAAACTGAAATGAAATACTCTAGACTTTGTGTTGAGAATGATATTGTGAGATTCACACCATACTAGAAACTCAAAATGCTTAAGAAAAAACTAAAATCATACTTTTAAAAACATTTATATGATGGCTCATTCCATGTTCAGAGGTCCACACACGAAGCAAGGGAATTTCAAACAACACCATAGCTCATGCTATAAAAAACAAATTCATCAATCAAACAATCAAAAATCACAAGAATACCTAGCATCATATTATGTTGAGTGAAGATGACAATATGACACACGAATTAAAAACAAGAAAAGTAAAAAAAAAAAAAAACACAAGATTTACGTGGTTCGGCAATGTGCCTACGTCCACGGCGGCTGAGGGATCTTTTATTATTCTCAATCGTATCAAATACATCAATACACCATGTATTTATACTAAAACCCTACAAGGTATAAATTTACTTAAATTCCGCTTCCCTCGCTACGTTCGCTCCGTTACGCTCGCAGGCATCAGCCTGCCCTCTTCCTTTGTCAATATATGAGTCATACCAACATATTAGAACCGGGTGAAGAGAGTATGGTCCCACCAGATAAAGCGCACCATAAGAGGGTGAACTAGGTGTATCTTAGTGAGGTTCCATCTCAAAACCAAAGCTAACTAGACTCATTTATCCTATATAATCAATGTGGGACTACTCACAAGTGATATTTCAACACATCACCATTCTCGAATGTGTAAACCCTTCGCCCACTAATTTCAATATCAGATGCACAAATTAAGAATTTTCATGAATGCATCAGCATAATCAAAGCAAGCAGCCCAATTTTCAACAGTAAACGCATAACCCATCAATCACTTTTCCGTAATCGAGCAACAAAAGCTGAAATATCAGAAAAGAAAAAAAAAATAAAAAATAAAAAATCCACCTGGGAGAATGCAAGAGAGCGAGCCTGAGCTCGCCGGAGCTGAGCTCGGCCCACCGGAGGGTGCAAACTTTAATGGTGAAACCCAAGCCCTCGGAGTAGAATCTCGCCGCTTTTGGGACGTCCTTGTGTAGCTGCACCAAGTATCTGAACGACGCTGCCGCCATTAGCAGACTTCCACTTGCTCTGTAAAAGCACAGAGAAAATCGCGTATGGAGAAACCGTAATAAAAAGCGCATTTCTAAATAGCAATATTTATCAACAATTTTAAGTTGTGTCTGATAAGCCGGGCCGAGAATGATCCTTCAAGTCGGCCCGGTTTTTTTAGTGAGCCGACTATTTTTTTCTTCAAAGAGAGACGATTTATAGGATGATTAGTTGGTCAAAAATAGTGGTTTTGACAAATAAATTATGTTATGAGTGGGGACATGTTTTCATAATGGTTCACGTTCTTTTTATTTAATGTTGTAAAAAATATAATTTAAATTTTGTCTAACCCATCCGATGATAAATAAATATGACAAGTTAGATCAATTCAAAGATTAGGCGGTCGTTAGATAAATATGACAAGTTAGATCAATACAAATATAAGTCGGAATTCTAGACGGTCGTAGACATGTTCTCCTATTTTATTCAGCTTTTGGTTGTTTTTTTTTTCTCCTGTTGGGAGCTTTGTAAATTTATTCGTACATTTGTGCGTTTTGATTTATATAATATTCTTTATCGTTCCGACAAAAAAAAATATTATAATAAAGAAAGCTAAAAGAATTGCAGATACATCAGTAATTCCCTACAAAAAGAGTGGCGCACAGAGAAAAGTAGTGTAATTCACCAAACAAAGAAAGCTCAAAATTGCTAATTATATGTAATGGCAACTCTCACAAGTCAGAGGTAAATGGAGTTCTTAGCAACACTGACAAATTTTCAAACCAAAAAAGATAATTGAATCAGATGATCAAAACTTGTGCCTATAAGGTAAAGTTTCACCCCAAGAACAAAAATCCAGTACAAAAGCACTAGTGCCCACAATGCAGACTATTTTTCACACATCCAGTAACAAAACTATGATCTCAAAACTCTCGGATCCCCTCGTTTCGTATTGCTTGGTCTTTTGTTTTATCTTTAGAGCCGAGGTCAATTGATAATGGTTGGTCGACATATGAGAACTTTGAAAGTTACGATCAAAACAAACACAAGCATGATTTCATGCTCATTGTCTTAATTTCTTGGAGCTGCACCGGAGAACACGTGGCATAATTAAATAAACAAGAAATTTAAGAATGAATAAGTAAGGAAACATATATATATATATATATATATAATGGAGTTTTATATTTTATTCCTACCACCGCCTATCGTAGCTTCAGGCAGCCGTTCAATGGAATATTTGTGCTGAGTAATATACATGATTGGTACCCCAGGGACCTGTTGATAGACACTCGATATTAATGGGGACATATAATTTAAAGAGAAGATTATTACTTCATTTTACGCCTACCCCAACTTGTTTGGGAGTAAAAGGCTACGTTGTTGTTGTTGTATTATTACTTCATTTTACAAATATATGACTATTGTTTTCACAATTAAGAAAAACCTAAAGGTGTTTCTTGTAATTATGTAATAGCAGAAATAAAACTCAGCCTTATCTACCTTACGAATTCTTCGCTTCAAGTCCCGATCACAGGTCGCAACAATGTAGCACTTGTGCTGTTGCAATGGGTCACTAAGGTTTATTAGTTATTTATACGAAAAATCAATGTTAGAACTACACAACAGAAATATATGATACTTTTATAGGTCTTTCATGAGAACATAATCGAAACGTCGATAATCAAAAGCTGAGTTGAATGTCGATAATATTTTACCTGTGTAACTCTATCAACAAGACAATCATCAGCATAAGTTCCCTTGTGCGTACAGGGAAGCCTCTCAAATCGAGGATCCTTTGCAATTCTGTTGATAAGAAAGAAAAATAATAAAGTTCCACCAAAAAAAAAAAAAAAAATCACATTTCAAAATTAAATTGCCGAGTAAATTTTAATTCACAAAGTCCAGTGCACTGGTCAGTAATAAGAAAATAACATAAACCATTCGCATAGCTTCAGAGATCAAATTCTCATCATTTGGATCAGTATTTTCTATAAAATGGTTAAACAGAAACTAGACAGAGATTACAAAAGCCAAAAACAGAAACAAAGTTCAAATGAGGTGACAAGGGGAACATGCCTCAAAGCAACTCGGTACTTCTGACCTAGCTTCTCGAGCTCAGCCATAACACAGTCTGTAATGCAAGGAGTACCTACACAAAATGAGACAAATAGATATTACCATAGTGGTCATGATATAAAGCCAACGAGAAGGATAAAGCGCACACATGATTTTAGAAGAGCAAACTCTAATGTAGTCCTTAACAAAGAGCAAACACACTATGTTTATACAAATACTGGAAACCTCTCGCTTTAGTCACGAACTTAACTTTAAACACACAAAAGAAAAAAAAAAATGGCTGGGGGGTTAGGGAGGGAGCAGTGACTGATGGACCTAGCAATTTATGCACAGCACGTATTTTTACAAATAGTATAAACTAAGATGCTGCAAGCACAGTATTTTTATTGTGTGAATAAAATGGAACCTTGTGCACATATTTTTACAAATAGTATAAACTAAGATGCTGCAAGCACAGTATTTTTATTGTGTGAATAAAATGGAACCGTGACTTACATTTCGCATATAAGCAGTCCATCATCCCTTTCTCTAGATCCAACTGCAGAGTATTTTAATTTTCAGTAAGAAAATAGACATAAAAGCAAAATTACACCACTAGATGCATCATGCAAAACGGAAAAAAAAAA